CGAAGTGTTTGGATATTTTTGGAAGAATACACCCTACCTTTGGCTTAAATTGCAAAATCGTTGCCAACTTCAGCTTCAACTAATTACAGATTCTTCTGAAGAGCTTGGTTAAATATTTTAGAAATATCGGGGTAATTGTTACAAATTGTTTATATTGAATCCATTTTAGAAAGCTTCGTAGGTTTTATCACCAAGTAAAGTCTTTCTCAAATGTTCTCCTATTTAGTACAGCTTTAGTTAAATCACGTTGATACTTTTCTTCAGACAGTTTCTAAAAGTAAAAAAGCATTTTAAGTATTTGGAGTTTTTGTACACTTATTCTGAGTGTAAAAACTACATCACGGTATCCGAGACTGCATAGGTTGATAATTTGGATGTCGTTGAGTATAAATACAATCATTCATTTTTCGCATATCATTGGTATTTGACCACGACAAACAAGGCAAAAGACATCGTTTCAAAATTTCTACTCACCAGTCATAGTTTCCATTTTGCGCGAAAAGCATTGTCGACAAAAAGGATATACCGCTAAATATGACGAAAAGGATATACCACTGTATAGTCACATCAAAAGATTGTTTAATATTCCTTACATAAATAAAGAAACTTGTTCCGTATTGAGAACTATTTAACGTCATTGCGGATAATTGGGATATTGTATTTATTTGTCTGCAGCGCTTGGCAAAATTGACTTTAACTTTGTGGGAGCAAAGCATCAAAAATAAGTCGTTGTTGCCTTTTTGGCCAGATCTATGTGTTTTCCTAACAGAAAGAATACAAAGTTTAGAATGCATTCAAAATATATATGCGAAATTGTCCACAACAAATGCTGGTTCTACTCTTTCCTCGACTAAGTAACTTTCTTCAAAGAAATCGTTGTATTCAAAAAGCGCTGAACTGTCTTACTGCTCCACTAATTCGTTGACATATCGTGTCACTGACACCTATTTCCACCACCAAAAACTTGCTGATACCTCACCCTCGATCTACACATCTAATGTCGAGTACTAATTGCTCTATTTGTCCTAACCAGAGTCATGCGCTTTGATTCAGCCCCAAGAAGGATAAGTGTGGCATAAATTGTCTGCCTCGTGGACATGCTATTAAACATTGTCGCAGGAAACATAGTTGTAATTATTACAAGCAAAGGGTTCAAAGCCCTCTCCACCGGCCACAAATTCGTAAAGTTGTTATTGTATCATGCTGAAAGTTGAGGTTCAAAGCCCCCTACACCTTTTACGAAGGTCAAAAGTCGAAACCCTTCCAAACCGCACCCACCCTCTGCCAAAAAGAATTCGAATAGGCAGTCTCCCAACATCATTGTTCATAATGTATACAATTCGTGCACTTGTTGATCCCTCCCTCTGGTATTTTCAAAAGTACATCTACATCTCCTACACTAAAAGAAGTTTAGACCTGATTTGTTTTGAAGTGAGTTGAACCACCTATCGTTTTAGAGCCTTTGCTGACCCAAAAGTCTCGCACCTCAAAATCTATATATATATATATACTAGCTGGCCCGGTCCGCGTTGCCGGCCCGTAGTTTTTGTCTATTATGCATATTTGTCAAAGCATAATTATTGAAAGATATGAATGTTATAAATGTTCACGTACTGGTCGATTAGTTTTTTTATTTTTAGTCAAATGAGCAGTAATTTGGAATTTACTGTACTTTGTACACCTCATAATTGAGGGCTAATTGATTTAAGAATAGCCAAAGTTAATTACTTTTTTAAACCCATTAGCACCTCAGATTGTGCATTAGAGTCCTTATAAGTCCCCCTAACCTTGTCGGTCAGTTTGTCCGCCAAAAGGTGGACTTGAGGGGGTACTATTACTTGGAGAAAATTCTAAAATTTGTAGATATGTTGAAATTTTTGTGTAAGATTTTTACCCCCAAATACACATTTTTAGCCAAATCCTTTGAAATATGGTAAAATGCGAAACATCGACCTACATTGAAAACTTTCTTCACCCCTTATAATCCAAGATGACAAATAGAGGCCAAATCGGAAATATAGCAGAACAACATAGCATGTCAAACTGAAAAAAAATCACGTGATTTAAATAAGTAAAAATAGTTTTATCCACCTCATAATTGAGGTCAGACTGATTTCAGAATCGTCAAATATAATTACTATTTTACACCCATTACCGTAATATGGGAACTAATTTTATTTGTCATTTAAATTGTAAATTGGAGACCCCATAAAGTCCATATTTTTCATCATAGTATAATTCAATGACGATTCAACAAATATTCGGTAACGTGCTACTTTCTAATATTTGTAATTTGTTCATGTTTTCACCATTTATTTCATATAGATGTATATCCCAAATCTACGTTCCCAACCAATATTCTCTTGGGGGTTACAAATTCAATAGAATACAATTTTTTCTTTTCTGACCACACATTAGATGTGAAAGTGGACTTGGGGATACTCCAATGTGGGGACTTTACATGAATAAATTTCTATGTGGGAATTATCTGTACGATGGTTCCTTACCCCAGGGTAGCATAAATACAATTTTTTAGTGGTCAAGACCAATATGGGCCCTACTCCGAAGATTTTATGCGAAGAGGTTCTCTACCCCCTTAGAAACAAAGATGCCAAATAAGGGCCAAAAATAGAAGAAAGTGGCGAAGACTCCAAAAATGGCTTAAACCATACGATGGTTATTTATGATCGATATCATGACCTGCAAAAGCGATTTAAGGTATCTTAAATGTTCAGGAAGAATTTTTGAAAGGATAGAAATCCTTTTCTTTCCCGTTCGCTCTACTATTTTGCACCCTTTATATTTGGTATTTTACTGATTGTACTCCCAAAAATTTTTGCATTTTGAGCTCTCATTGAACGGATTACTGTCACATGCCATGCTTGTCACGCTTTGAAATAAGCCCCATTAGTCTTTTTCGGTCAATGTCTGCGCATCTTCCAGATGAAGCACGATGTAGGCCCTGGAGTTGAAAGGTAGATGTCAGTTACCATCGTACTTCGCACTTATTTCATTTTTTTGGTGAAAAATTGTATATAGTGAAAAATTATTCTTTATTTTGTTCACAAAAAATCCAATGAATTCAATATGATTTTACAAATTGAAAAAAAAAAAAAATGACAAAAGAAGAATAACAAATTGAAAAAATCTTCAACTTGTTCGCTGATTTTTTACAGCAACTGTTTAAAGATCCTTACAAAGTTTGTCAATAGAATGTACTTTTATTTTAAAATTCAATTCCATTGGAATTTTTTTCGATATTTTCCCGTTTTGAGAATTGTTGTAATGAGATCTCTTTTTTCGTGATTTTTTTAACGATTTTGAAAAAGTAATTATCTTTTAACTAAATTATTAAATTATTTCGATATCCTCTATTCCGTTTCGCCACCGCATAATTCGGTACTACACTTCCATGTAACCCGCCATCAATTTCAGTTCTCAAGAAATCAAGTCAATTAAATAAATTGGTATTAATATTCGAATTCAAAAATAAAATATAAAAAACACTACAAATGTACATTAGAAAAAAGTAAGTCAAAATGGAAAAAAATCATGCAAAATAAAACATTACTATTGTACATTTCAAAAGTCAAAATGAAAATGTTAATATATCACATTTTTACGCGATTTTTTTTGGATATTATCCTTTTCGGATAAGAGACAATTCCGAATTTGTATGAATCATTAAAATCAGTTCAGCGGTTCTTAAGTTATAAGCGTAGTAACTAACACAACTTTCATTTATATATATAGATATATATATATATATATATATATATATATATATATATATATATATATATATATATATATATATATATATATATATATATATATATATATATATATATATATATTGAAAATTCTTACTGAAAAATTCCGAACAAAGGTTTCCTTTCAACAAGGTTTCTTTGTCCACACCCCAAGTGCTGCCGGTTCGCGCCTTGAGGACCTTGTTCACACTTTTATTTTGTCGCAGATAGCTGTGGCTTGCGCGGACGACTTGAACATGTTGTGGAATGTGACCCCTAGAATCTTGGGGTAGTTCGTGGTCGGTATTAGATTCCCCACGACCTGCACATTCAGCTGTGTTCTCATCTCCGCAGACCATGTGGTGAAGAGTATGGCTGTTGATATCGTGGCGAATATTAAAGACTAAAACTACGGGCCGACAACGCGGACCGGGCCAGCTAGTAAAATATAAAAATATATAAGTTTATATAGAAAAATAATTAAAAAAATAATTTAAATACTAAAAACTATGCTAATAATTGTATATATAAATCCAAATGTTTGTTATAGTTTTGGCTCAATATGTTTGATTCAGAAATAAAAATTATGTTGGGCTTTTCTATGCCGGACTCCCCTATTCTAAGAATTCTATACGATCATGTCTGGATGATAGACACTTCAAATTAATCCACAACATCGACTTGCAACGATACCCAATCGATTAAGGGATGAGACTAAGATAATTAATGGATAGACCGGCACCGGTAGATAAATGGAGCCACTCCTGGCCAACCTTATCTGCAGGATGCTGATTTTTAGAAGGGGAGTGTTAAACCATGTAATTCTGCACAAACCATTGTATTGCCCTTCCCAATGTACACGCGTCACTTATTCATAATTTTTTAGATATTGGGAAACTTAATATGCGATACTTTCCCACAGTCATTGAACCTCTACACGAGTCGCATAATTATCACCTGTGGGAAAGGTATTTACCAGCATAGGACATTACTTCGCTTCCATGAATTGGAGGCTTGATGAGAACAAATAATTATGACAATAGGCTGTTGAGTTCGGGAGTCTAGCGCGTACTTTTATGTAGTTAATTATTGTTATATATTTACTAAAAAATAATGAGAAATTTCCTATAAAGCCAGTTAAATATAAATTGTAATGTATGTATATATACGTTTCTGTTATTTTTATGTTTGAATTGTAATATCTTATCAACCTGTGCTATTCTAAAATTTAAAAATGAATAAACTTACTTGTGCTACGACGGTATTTATTGCAATGTCATCTTTCAATATCAGTTTGTACTCATTTAATTGAAAATACGGAACGTTGTCATTAACATCATCTACTTTAAGCCGGACAAATGAGTATGAAAATTTGCCTCCTCCATCAGTGGCTTTCACCAAAATTTCATATAATTGCCTTTGTTCTCTGTCTAAAGGTATTTTGGAATATATTGAACCCGTCATATTGTCAATTCTAAATATGGAAGCCATATCATTACAGGGTATATCATAGTATATCGATCCATATTTTCCAAAATCATGATCAATAGCTTTCACCTGAAAGAAACAAAAAAATATATATTTCCTACTATAATTAAATTATTAATATATATTAAACTCTACTACAACACATTTTCAGATATCAACACACATAACCTTACTTATAACAAAGACAGAATTCATGAAGTCTCATTTGTTAAATCAGCAACGGCAACCTTTTTTATTTTTTCTAATTCATCTTTAATGTTAACCTTATTATTTTATTAAAACCTGTAGCAACTGCATTTTTCATTTTTTCAACTATTATCGCTTCATACATCTCAATTTTACTGCAGCCTTAGATACAAAAAAAAAACTCCAGAAAATCCCTGCATCTGCACACAATTACTAAAAAAAATATATTCTAAATGCAGAGTTTTCTCTAAATTGCGTCTAATATTGTTGTTATCAACTATACACACAAACAATTTGACTTGTTTTCAACATCTATAACTTCATCACAGATGGAAACAAACATTATGTCAATGAGCAAATATCAAAAAAAGACTTTAGTCTTAATTGAATTGAAATACCGGTCACTGGTAATCATTCAGTCTACATACTTATAGTAGTAAAAGTTCAGAATAACTGAAATAATTTTTGAGTTTTGCCTTGTTAAGGCGAAGATCATATGTTTTATGATTTATGTGTTTGTTTTCTCTTTCGAGACGAGCTTAATGATCTGAAATTTGCAGTGAAAAGGAAAGCCAGATAGACACTATCACACACTCACCACTATGCGACGCGTTTCGCCGTTGGTTAAGCGGCTCATCAGGCATATTTGGTGTGGATGATGGCTTACAAGGGCCGTTCTCTGGAAAGTAGTATATATTTCGAACATATTGCAAATTAGCATATGCGAATTATACACTAGAAACTCTCCAGGTTCGACTCAAGTTCTATTGGCAGATCTTTTTCACAGCAAAGTTTTTTTGTTTTTGTACTGATGGATTTTTTGTCCACAACAACTACATTGCTTCCAATGCATACACTTGTTTTAGTGCTGCTTTAGGAAGACGGGTTAATGGCTCTGAACGCAGAGACGGCAACTTCTAGTTGGCTGCACACCGAGGTCCGCGGTTCAAATCCCACAGCCAGGCTCGGCTGAATTTTTGAGTTTTGCCTTGTTAAGGCGAAGATCATATGTTTTATGATTTATGTGTTTGTTTTCTCTTTCGAGACGAGCTTAATGATCTGAAATTTGCAGTGAAAAGGAAAGCCAGATAGACACTATCACACACTCACCACTATGCGACGCGTTTCGCCGTTGGTTAAGCGGCTCATCAGGCATATTTGGTGTGGATGATGGCTTACAAGGGCCGTTCTCTGGAAAGTAGTATATATTTCGAACATATTGCAAATTAGCATATGCGAATTATACACTAGAAACTCTCCAGGTTCGACTCAAGTTCTATTGGCAGATCTTTTTCACAGCAAAGTTTTTTTGTTTTTGTAGTGATGGATTTTTTGTCCACAACAACTACATTGCTTCCAATGCATACACTTGTTTTAGTGCTGCTTTAGGAAGACGGGTTAATGGCTCTGAACGTAGAGACGGCAACTTCTAGTTGGCTGCACACCGAGGTCCGCGGTTCAAATCCCACAGCCAGGCTCGGCTGAATTTTTGAGTTTTGCCTTGTTAAGGCGAAGATCATATGCTTTATGATTTATGTGTTTGTTTTCTCTTTCGAGACGAGCTTAATAATCTGAAATTTGCAGTGAAAAGGAAAGCCAGATAGACACTATCACACACTCACCACTATGCGACGCGTTTCGCCGTTGGTTAAGCGGCTCATCAGGCATATTTGGTGTGGATGATGGCTTACAAGGGCCGTTCTCTGGAAAGTAGTATATATTTCGAACATATTGCAAATTAGCATATGCGAATTATACACTAGAAACTCTCCAGGTTCGACTCAAGTTCTATTGGCAGATCTTTTTCACAGCAAAGTTTTTTTGTTTTTGTAGTGATGGATTTTTTGTCCACAACAACTACATTGCTTCCAATGCATACACTTGTTTTAGTGCTGCTTTAGGAAGACGGGTTAATGGCTCTGAACGTAGAGACGGCAACTTCTAGTTGGCTGCACACCGAGGTCCGCGGTTCAAATCCCACAGCCAGGCTCGGCTGAATTTTTGAGTTTTGCCTTGTTAAGGCGAAGATCATATGTTTTATGATTTATGTGTTTGTTTTCTCTTTCGAGACGAGCTTAATGATCTGAAATTTGCAGTGAAAAGGAAAGCCAGATAGACACTATCACACACTCACCACTATGCGACGCGTTTCGCCGTTGGTTAAGCGGCTCATCAGGCATATTTGGTGTGGATGATGGCTTACAAGGGCCGTTCTCTGGAAAGTAGTATATATTTCGAACATATTGCAAATTAGCATATGCGAATTATACACTAGAAACTCTCCAGGTTCGACTCAAGTTCTATTGGCAGATCTTTTTCACAGCAAAGTTTTTTTGTTTTTGTAGTGATGGATTTTTTGTCCACAACAACTACATTGCTTCCAATGCATACACTTGTTTTAGTGCTGCTTTAGGAAGACGGGTTAATGGCTCTGAACGTAGAGACGGCAACTTCTAGTTGGCTGCACACCGAGGTCCGCGGTTCAAATCCCACAGCCAGGCTCGGCTGAATTTTTGAGTTTTGCCTTGTTAAGGCGAAGATCATATGTTTTATGAGCCATTAACCCGTCTTCCTAAAGCAGCACTAAAACAAGTGTATGCATTGGAAGCAATGTAGTTGTTGTGGACAAAAAATCCATCACTACAAAAACAAAAAAACTTTGCTGTGAAAAAGATCTGCCAATAGAACTTGAGTCGAACCTGGAGAGTTTCTAGTGTATAATTCGCATATGCTAATTTGCAATATGTTCGAAATATATACTACTTTCCAGAGAACGGCCCTTGTAAGCCATCATCCACACCAAATATGCCTGATGAGCCGCTTAACCAACGGCGAAACGCGTCGCATAGTGGTGAGTGTGTGATAGTGTCTATCTGGCTTTCCTTTTCACTGCAAATTTCAGATCATTAAGCTCGTCTCGAAAGAGAAAACAAACACATAAATCTTAAAACATATGATCTTCGCCTTAACAAGGCAAAACTCAAAAATTCAGCCGAGCCTGGCTGTGGGATTTGAACCGCGGACCTCGGTGTGCAGCCAACTAGAAGTTGCCGTCTCTACGTTCAGAGCCATTAACCCGTCTTCCTAAAGCAGCACTAAAACAAGTGTATGCATTGGAAGCAATGTAGTTGTTGTGGACAAAAAATCCATCACTACAAAAACAAAAAAACTTTGCTGTGAAAAAGATCTGCCAATAGAACTTGAGTCGAACCTGGAGAGTTTCTAGTGTATAATTCGCATATGCTAATTTGCAATATGTTCGAAATATATACTACTTTCCAGAGAACGGCCCTTGTAAGCCATCATCCACACCAAATATGCCTGATGAGCCGCTTAACCAACGGCGAAACGCGTCGCATAGTGGTGAGTGTGTGATAGTGTCTATCTGGCTTTCCTTTTCACTGCAAATTTCAGATCATTAAGCTCGTCTCGAAAGAGAAAACAAACACATAAATCATAAAACATATGATCTTCGCCTTAACAAGGCAAAACTCAAAAATTCAGCCGAGCCTGGCTGTGGGATTTGAACCGCGGACCTCGGTGTGCAGCCAACTAGAAGTTGCCGTCTCTACGTTCAGAGCCATTAACCCGTCTTCCTAAAGCAGCACTAAAACAAGTGTATGCATTGGAAGCAATGTAGTTGTTGTGGACAAAAAATCCATCACTACAAAAACAAAAAAACTTTGCTGTGAAAAAGATCTGCCAATAGAACTTGAGTCGAACCTGGAGAGTTTCTAGTGTATAATTCGCATATGCTAATTTGCAATATGTTCGAAATATATACTACTTTCCAGAGAACGGCCCTTGTAAGCCATCATCCACACCAAATATGCCTGATGAGCCGCTTAACCAACGGCGAAACGCGTCGCATAGTGGTGAGTGTGTGATAGTGTCTATCTGGCTTTCCTTTTCACTGCAAATTTCAGATCATTAAGCTCGTCTCGAAAGAGAAAACAAACACATGAAATAATTTTTGTTTACCTATTAAGCATAATTAAACATCATTTGCTTTGTATTAAAAATCCTTTTATAAAAACAACAATAGAGAGATTAAGCCTGACCATTTTGCAAAAACAACATACTATGGTATCCCGAACAAACAAGCCAACACTGCTCCACACAATAGTCCAATGGATTGGAATCCGGAGATTTTGATGGCCATTGTGCGCTGGAAATGAAGCGAGGAACATCATTTTGTAACCATTCTTGGGTGGCGCGTGCTGAGTGCGATGGTGCTGAGTCCTGATGGGATGTCCAAGGTCTGCGTCCAAAATGTTTGCGTGCCCAAGGCTTTAATACACCCTCCAGAATATTTTCGCGATAATATTCGGCATTTATTCTGATGTCACGTTCGATTAATACCAGCGGAGAGGGACCATCGGCTGTTATGGCGGCCCACACCATCACCATGACCGGCGCTTAAGCTGTGGTGGCCAAACGAAGGTGCACATTTTCAGCTGACCTCTTTGGCAAGTAAACACGATTATTTTGTTTGTTTACAAACTGCTGGACAACGAATGTTTTCTCATCGGAAAAAGCCAAATTCGGCAGTTCACCACTTTCGGCCACTCGAAGTAACTCTTTAGCTCTTTTTAGTCTATTTTCCTTCCGTTTCGGTGACGGTTCTTGCACTTTTTGGAATTTCAATGGCTTTACCCATTCTTTACCTTTCGAACCAATTCTGCTGATGTTGCTGTTTACTTCCGCACACTTTCTTGACGTCGGGCTACGCTACCAGTATCACGGTAAAGAGCAATGGTACGAGACACAAAAGATTTATTCACATTTAAATGTTGGAGTGCTCTAACAATAGCCACTTGTGACTTTCCAGACAAATATAAAGAAATCACACAATCATGCTTGAATTCCATCACGAATAACAAAATGCTTTTGTACACTTGTATACAATATAATGAGCTGTCACTGGAATAATTTTAACAGCTGTCGGACTCTTGGCTTAGAAATGACAGCAGTCTGAAGTTGGTTGCAGTTTTTTCATCTCACCCTGTATGTGTATTTTGTCAGTAGGCAGGTAATTTTCGTAAATGGACAATGTTTATCCTCTGATATAACTGAACCGTTTGTTTTTAGATATTTTAAAATCTTTTTACACCTACCTACATTTTAATAAATGTTTCGGAATTTTGTAGTTCAAACCCATTCCAAATATATTTTAATTTATTTCACATTCGCAATAGAATTGTTCGCAATTTGGTATTTAAAGTAATGGCAGAGTACGCATATAACGGTACCACCCGATACTGGGATTTTTAATTTAGAATTTGTGATTCTTATGTAACAGGTTAAGTAACCGTTACATTAACTATTAAATGCAGCACTCAGCATGCAAGTAATGTTGTGTATACTATACATCATCTGATGGCAAGTAAATAAGCAGCCTGCAGTTTAGGGTTTTTAATGTATATAAATCATATTTTTCTACAAACGGATAAGAGATATCACATGATATGATATTGAAATATTATATACTCACCGTTAGAATAAGTGTATTTTGCTTCTCATTCTCATTCACATGTACCTCATACACCGACGATTCAAATATTGGGCTATGCATATTTTCTGGAAGCAAGTTAATTTTTACTCTTGCAAAGCTTATATGAAGGCCGTCGGTTACGGAAATATTGAGAATGCTCTGTTTATAGCTTTCCAATCTCTGATTGTTTTGTAGTACTATAATTCCTGTCGATTCTTCTATATTATATATTTGGTAATCGTTACCATCTACAATTTTATATTTCAATTTGCCGCTGTCACATTCATCGTCATCGTAAGCACTGGCTCTTGTTACAAATTGTCCTCTGGATGCATTAACTGATAACTTACTCGAAAATGATGGCTCAACAAATTTAGGAATGTTGTCGTTTAGATCTTTTACTGCAAAAATAAATTTATAACATCAGTATAGGTTCGAAGAATATGAAGGAAAAATACAGAAAACAATATATATATATATATATATATATATATATATATATATATATATATATATATATATATATATATATATATATATATATATATATTGTATCACTATTTTTCAAAAGTACTTCAAAGAAAGATAAAATATGTAGGAAAAATAAATAAATTAATTTTAAATATGATACATGTAAAAAATTATAAATATAAACAAAATATGTACCTAATAAATCTTTAACAATCGTAACTGTATGTCATATACAGCATCGCCCTATCTCATACCAAAATATATATTGGTTGAAATTGGACACTCTCAGGCATCTTTCTGGAACAAGACATTGTTTCATAGAAGTTCTAGTCACTAAAGTTTCTCAGAATTTTAGTACCCGAGTAAAATAGACAATCTTCTGTAATTACTGTAGTAATTTAACAAAATTAATGCTTTGTTTATTTCCCCAGAAAATGGTCGTTTTGACGAGCACGTCGACAATTTTTTGGCTTCTTTACTTTTAATATGATTACTGGAATTCCATAAAGAAGTTAAAAATCAGAAAAATCGATTTCTGGACGATTTAAGAATGTCACTCAAGTAAATATGAAAAATACATTCATATGCCGCAAACACGATGGAAAGGAATATTTATTTTTTTATTTATTTTTATTTATTTTTACTTTTTTATTAATCCTACAATCTTCTATATATAAATATCAATTGTTGTTCGCTGGTAATGAAATCAGTTTAGAACGGCTGGACCGATTTGCATAATTTTTTTGTACAAACGTTCGTCATATCCCGATTTAGGTTTATGAAGACAAAAATATTGGCCATGCCTACGATTACGCCCACTACTCCGATTTTTCTAAAATCCTTATATTTTCCAAATAATGAAGATATCGGTTTGAAAATTATTATACGAGATACTGTTGACTTTCCCTCCAACCCTATGCATTTGTTTGGGGGCTGAGGAACCGACCACGCCTACTTTTTAATATATATATACACCAATTGTTGTTCGTTGGTGATTGAACCAGTTGAGAACGGCTGGAACGATTTGGATATTTTGTTTTTAATGTTCGTCCTAAATCTATATGTAAAAAAATTTAAAAAGTATATCAGTTGAGATCGGCTGTGCCGATTTGACTCAAATCTTCTTTTTCTAAAAGAAAATTTTAAGAAAATCCTCTAGAAATCGAGGTACTGAAAATATTGACTGTTCTAGTTTGATATGGAATTTTGTGTAGAATTGTTTCAGAATGCCTTTTAGAATTAAAAAATTTTATTGAAAAAAAAAAAACCGAAAAAATCGAGAAATTTTGCATATTTTCTATACATGCCGTTATATGGTTGCCATACCAAAATTTTCAATTTTGATTAAAAATATTTCTTAAATCATTAAAACGTTTAAAATCACAACGTATTTTAATTGATGATATGCCTAATGGGGAACCAATAGTAAACAGTTATTATTCCAAATTCAAAATTACTTTTGATTTGGAAAATATTGCTAAGACCTTTATAATACTGATAATTGAGGTTTGAAATTAAAAACGATGATATAACGAATATACCTCTTTATATTCGGGGAAATATAAAATAATTCATAAAGTGGGCTTTTGTTGTAATTTTTTGACAAATGATTTCGACCTCGAAAATGCTTTTGAGTCCCTCAAAATACCTCAAATCGGCCAAATTAAAGCATATTTGGTCGACCAATATTAGAAGATAATATTATATGAGAATAAATATATACCTTTTGTAACGTCAATCATTCTACGAATAATATATAATCCTGTGTAAAGTTTGAAAGACGCATATTAAAATTTAAATTATGTCTATCGGACATAATTTAATCAACAAAGATGTCCACTCTTTAACATTCTTTATGGGATCCCTAACTTTTATTAACCGATTAAACTTTATTTATGATAGTAAAATTCAATTTAGAAATTACTATAAATTCTGAGGTCAAAAACTACAAAAAATTGACAAAATATGGAAATAATCCATCCAACAATACACAAAGGCCCTCAAATACGTTTCTCTATACTCCACGAAAGTTACGATAGACTTTTAATTTGATACAGTCCTAGGGTTACATGAAGAATCATTTGTACAAAATATGTATCAGGTCGGTCTACATTGTGATATAGCCCCCCTCAAATGATAAACCCCATTAAAATTCTTCAAATGTTGTTAATTCGAGATTTAAGAAAGAACAACACATTCTTTCAAATAAATATAAGTATAGGACCATGCTTATTACAGATATTTCCAGGGTCTTGGTCACATTTTTCAATTGATGTTTCCCTTATTCTTAGCTTCTAAGGGCTTAAGTCTGACAATTTTATAAAAACAAAATACTATGGTATCCCGAAAAAGAGCCAACACCGTTCTATTAATAAACAACGTACATTCGACAAAGGGGTTTTTGTTGTAATAGACAAAAAACAACTTACATGGTTATGCTACTTCGTTCAGGTGGAACGAAAGCATAACAAGTGGAGAAAGATGTAAATATTTATAAGTGCGGTTGTAAAATTTAGAAGATTTTCCAAAAGAATGTTAGTTTTATTTAACTCTTTGGTTCCTCTTCTATTGAGCTTACGATCTCGTCACATGGGTAAAAAATGTTTTTGTCATATTTAAAAAAATCATTATTAAAAAAAAAGTCAAAAAGCAGTAAGTTCGGCCGGGCCGAACTTTGAATACCCTCCACCATTTGGAACGAATTAAAATATTTTCAAAAAATAAAATCCATTGAAAACTCTTTTAAAATACCTAATATCGGAAGGTGCCGTTATATGGGGGATAAACGATATTGTGAACCTGTATAGATACATTTTAGGGGTTAAAGTGCTCAAAAAGAACTCCTTGTGTGGAATTTCGGACAATTCCGTTGAAAAATGTGGCTAAAATCATCAAAATACCGAATATCAGAGGGCACCGTTATATGGGGGATATACGATATCGTGGACCTATATAGACAACTCTCTTTCAGGGAGTAAAGTACTCACAAAGAACTCCTTGTGTGGATTATCAGACAATTCCGTTGAAAAATGTGGGTAAAATCATCAAAATACCGAATATCAGGGGGTACCGTTATATGGGGGATATACTGTATCGTGGACCTATATAGACAACTCTCTTTCAGGGAGTAAAGTACTCACAAAGAACTACTTGTGTGGATTATCAGACAATTCCGTTGAAAAATGTGGGTAAAATCATCAAAATACCGAATATCGGGGGGTACCGTTATATACGATATCGTATATAAACAATTCTCTTTCAGGGGTGAAATACTCATAAGAGACTCCTTGTGTGGAATTTCAGAATATACGATATCGTGGACCTATATAGACAATTATCTTTCAGGGAGTGAAATACTCATAAGAGTCTCCTTGTGTGGAATTTCAGACAATTCAATTGAAAAATGTGGCTAAAATCATCAAAATACCGAATAACGGGGGGTACCGTTGTATGGGCGCCATTCGATATCGTGGACCTATATAGACATTTCTCTTTCAAGGGATGAAGTAATCACAAGTAGCGCCTTGTGTGGATTTTCAGACAATTCCGTTGAAAAATGTGGCTATAATCATCAAAACACCGAATATCGAGGGTACCGTTATATGGGGGCTGTACGATATCGTCGACCTATATAGATGATTCTATTCCGAGGTATAAAATACCCATAAGGAACTCCTTATGTGGACTTTCAGACAATTCCGTTGAAAAATGTGGGTAAAATCATCAAGATATCGAATATCGAGGGGTACCGTTATATCGGGGCTATACGATGTCGTAGACCGATATAGCCCATCTTCGAACTTAACCTGCATGCAAACAAAAGAGAGATCTGTGCAAAATTTTAGCTTCCTATCTTAATTTGTTTAGACTGTAACATGATTACAACAGACGGACGGACGGACGGACAGACAGGGCTAAATCGTCTAAGAATTTTACGCTGATCAAGAATATATATACTTTGTTGGATCTAAAATGATTATTTCGATGAGTTACAAACGGAATGACGAACTTAATATACCCTCCATACTATGTATGGTGGAGGTTATAAAAAGTTCTGGGGAAAATATCCCAGACCGAAAACAAGGGAACTGATGAGGATTGGTGGCTCTTTCCGAAACCTAGGTATTCCCTGCCTTACCCCCTGGTAAACATTACCATCGTTCTCCACTATTAAACAAACATTGTTTTTATAAAAACAACAATAAAGGGATTAAGCCTGACAATTTTACAAAAACAAAATACTATGGTATCCTGAACAAAAACGCCAGCACTGTTCTATTAATAGACAAGGCACGGTCGACGAAGGGGTTTTTGTCGTAACAGACAAAAACCAACTTACATGGTTATGCTACTTCGTTCAGGTAGGACGAAAGCATAACAAGCGGAGAAATACGTAAATGTTTATGAGTGCGGTTGTAAGATTTAGAGGATTTTCCAAAAGAATTTTAGTTTTATTTAATTCTTTGGTTTCTCTACTACAGCCTAAGACAAAAAAATCGGTCATGTATGTCCACGTCTTCGTATAGCCCCCATATAACGGTAACGGTATAACGTAACGGATACTGCAGCATATTTCTGGAGATTGTCTGGAATTATTTCAAATTCGGTATTTGAAGTTCGTAATGGATACTACAGCCTAAGAAACTGTACCCCCGATATTCGGTATTTTGATGATTTTAGAGACATTATTCACCGGAATTATTTCAAATTTTGGAACGAAAGCATAACAAGCGGAGAAATATGTAAATGTTTATGAGTGCGGTTGTAAGATTTAGAGGATTTTCCAAAAGAATTTTAGTTTTATTTAATTCTTTGGTTTCTCTACTACAGCCTAAGACAAAAAAATCGGTCATGTATGTCCACGTCTTCGTATAGCCCCCATATAACGGTAACGGTACAAAGTAACGGATACTGCAGCATATTTCTGGAG